AGTGTACCTTCACAAAATAAGTTCTCAAGTAGCCAGCACTCCCACTGAGGACAATGCCAGTTCCCAAAAGACTAACCTGAGCGTTTCCAACCCGAGACTGATCGACACACAAGTTCCCAGTCTTTGCAGCTGCAAACAGCCTTAGGCAGGGGCAGGCCTGAACCCCAGCCCTCAAGACTGAGGCAGGAGGATTGTGAGTTTGAGGCTAGCTTGGACTACATAGGAAGACCCTGTCTTTAAAAAAACAAAACAAAACAAACACCTATTTTTAACGTTTTTGTTTTGTTTTGTTTTGTTTTTGGAGACAGGGTTTCTCTGTGTAGCTCTGGCAATTTTTGAAGTCTTGAAGCACCTGCCCCTGCAGCACTGGGGTCCAGCCAGAGAACTACTGAATGAATGTACCTACCTCCTCTCCCTATGCTGTTTTAACCGTCAATTTTCTGTACTGACACTGGCCCATAAGGCACTGGGGGCTAGCCTGAATTTGATCTAGCAGCACCTGACACAGAGCATTCTAACCAACAGGACTCTTAGCAGTTGGTGATCCAGAAATGCAGACCCCTCCATACCCTCAGACTTGACCCAGTAGCCTCTGGACAACATGGAACGGCCTGGCAGGTCTGACCTGTGTACCTAGTGCTCAGCCAGGAAGCCTGTCTTATGTGTATGGATGCTTTGCCTGGAGATGTGTCTGTGTACCACATGGACAATGCTGTTAGAGACTAAAAGAGGCCTTGGAACTAGAGTTACAGATGGTTGTGAGCCACCATGTGGGAGCTGGGATTCAAACCTAGGTCTTCTGGAAGAGCAGCCCTTGCTTTTTACGTTGTGTGTGTTTGCACACACGTGTGCTTGATGGCATCCGCATTTCCATATGAGGATCAGAAGACAGTTTTCAGGGTTAGCTCCCCCCTTCTGTGCGAACTCCAGGTGTCAAACTAAGGTTTGTCAGCAAGTGTCCTTACCTAGTGTGTCATCGCAGCCCTAAAAACAAGACTAACTAACAAACAAAACAACTTTTGCTGAGTGTTACACTTTGAGGAATTCTAGCACTCTGGGGGCTGAGGCCGGAGGAGGGTCTATGCGTTCACCCAGCCTGCCTCTAGAGCTGGGTGTAATGGTGCACGGCTTTAATCTCAGTACTCAGGAGGCAGAGGTGGGGGAATTTCTGTGAGTCAGAGGTCAGCCTGGTCAACATAGTATTGAGTTACAGGATAGCCAGAGCTACCTAGTGAAGCCCTGTCTCAAAACAAACAAAAGCCAACCAACCAAATAAAGAAAAAACCCTATCTCTAAATAAACCGCCTTGGGAGATGGCTCAGTGGCCACAAGTGCTTACGCAAGGACAGCCTCAGACCTCACTACCAGGTGGGCGTGGTCCCCTGCCTGCCATTCCAGCCTCGGAAGGAGCAGGCAGGTTCTGCAAGGCAGGCTGACGGTAAGGACTGGTCATATAGGGGCTCTGGGTTTGACTGAGACATGATGATTCCCAACATCAATCCTGGTCCTGTACATGCATGTGCACATATGAACACTCCCTCACACACATGCAAACACATGTGCTCACAAGAGTAGAAAAAGAAATAAAGCTAACTTTCAAACTTGCCCTACCTAATCACCTCCAGGATGCCTGCAACTTAAAACCAAGCAACAGAAAATACCGGACACCAGAGGGAACAGAGAGAAACTGGAACCTTTGGACATCATTGTTGGAATGTTTGCCTTGTTTATTTATTTTTATTTATTTAATGTTTGAGACAGTCTCACACTGCAGTCCAGGCTGGCCTGAAACTCAAGACAGTTCTCCTGTATCAACTTTGTGTGTTTTTTTGTTTGGGACAGGGTTACTTCGTGTAGCCTCAGCTGTCCTGGACTCACTTTGTAGTCCAGGCTGAACTTGAACTCACAGAGATCCACCTGCCTCTGCCTCCCTGAGTGCTGGGATTACAAGTGTTTGGCACTGGGCCCAGCTCTGCACCAGCCTTTTGATTGCTGGGGTCATAGGTCTGAGCCACTGCAGCTGGCTTGTTAGTGGGAATGTAAACTGGTGAAGCTGCTGTGGAAAACAGGTGGGTGGGTCCTCAGGTAGTTAAGCAGAGTCACCCTGTGACCCCATCACACCCAAGAGAACGGTGAACAGACAGTACAAAAGCCAGATATTCACAGCAGAACTGTTCACAACAGTCATAGGGTGGTGACAGCCAGATGCCTATCGGCAGTGAATAGACACAGAACGTGGTCTGTCCACACAATGGACTGTTATCCAGTCATAAGAAGGAATAAAGTCCTGACACATGCTGCAATACGGATGAGTGTTGGAAACACGGTGCTCAGTGGGTGAGAAGCCAGGCACACAAGAACCTTTGTTAGCTGATCTGTGCAAAATGCCTGCAGCTGGGAGCAAGTAGATTAGTGGCTGCTGGGCGTGGGGGAGGCGTGAGAGTGGGCTCACGGCACAGTTTCCTTCTGTGATGAAAATGTCCTGGAGTTAGACCTGGAGACACCAGCCACAGCTGTGGTGAATTTTATACAGTGTGTCTTTTACCGCTGCTGAGAAACATCACTAAATGCATCTTAGCACCCTGGTTTGAACCATGGAACAGAAAGGCATTAGTGGAAATGTTGAGAAAGCACAAAAAAGCTTGGAATTTTAGTGACTGTCCGAGTAAGTGTTGGTCCCAGTTGAGATAGATGAGCCTGTCATGTGATGTGTTGTGAGCGAACCATAAGGCTGCATAAAGATTCTGTACTGTTGTGCCTTTCTGTAAGCTAAAGCTGAGGCCAAAACCAAATACTTATTTCTAAACCCATAGCTATCCTCTAAAGAGGAGCTAGCTCAGTCTCTAGAAAGTTCTTTCATGGGCAAAGGCCTCACTTCTTAGGCTTGGGTTTATAAACTGGGGTACTGGAGTGACCAAAAAGAGGGAAGAGTCCTGGGCCCACAGCCTGGGAGGGGAAGAGGAGACAGCTGCTGGGAGAGCATCAGAGGTGCTTTTCCCACACCAGGGACCCATGGCAGCTGCTCACTCCTTGATCTAGAAGCTGCAGGGACTTGGGGGAGTATGAAGGCCTAACACGGAGGCTGCAGTCCCCGAGCTAGAGCTAAAGATTCTTCCAGGTATGGTTCTTGGCACCTGCTAAAGGAGACAGCTGGAGCCAATCTGTGACAAAGCAGTTGACCAGTGCCCTCAGGAGGAACTTATGCTGAGAAGGAGGAGTTTCCGTTCTCTTCAGTCTATTTAGGCAAGCCAGAGCTGAAGCATGCTTTTCCTGCTACTCTGGGCTTCCTTGCTCTTTGTCTGAAGTAGCTGCCCTCCAACATGCTGGTTTACTGTCTCCATTATCCTCCTCCAGGCAGCTTTCAGATTTACAACTGCCTGCCCTGACATTTTCTTTTAAACTGATAGCATTGTCTTTGATTGAGGGCAAGGCAAAGCAGCTGGCCTCCGCTCTACAGTTGGTATTTCCAATTTAATCTGGAACTATCTGAAGACCTACCCACTAGGACCTTTTAGTCCTCTGTTCTACAACCCTGATGACTTCTGAGGTTAACATGACCCAGACTGCGGGTCTCCCTTTGTGGTGAGCAGAATGCATGCCCCCCAAAAGATAGGCATGCCAAGTACCTGGAACCTGTGTCTGGACCCTATTGAAAGAAAGGTGTTTGCAGATCACGACTAAGTCCAGGCTCCCTAGGTAAGCTCACCCTGAATTACCTGGGCCACCTCAGTGCGCATTGCCAGGTTCTGATAAAAGCAGAGGGAAACTGAAATGCCCAGGACATGGAAAGGCTGACGATGACAGAGATAGAGGCTAGACAATGGGGTCACCAGCTAAAGAACACAGGAGTCACCAGAATTTGGAAGGGGCATGCAAGATTCTCCTCTAGGAGACCATGAAACCCTGCTTTAGATTTATGGGGTCCCAAACTATGAGACTGTTCATTTCTCGTTACAGCAACAAGAGGGAACAAATGAGCTGTGCCTTGGAGCCCCCATCTTGGTAAGAGCAGCAGAGAGGCAGGAAGTTCTTGCAATGCATCTGTTTTACAGTTGGGGAAACTGAGGCCTAGAGAAAGGAATGGAAATGGAAGAGCACCCGGCAATCTCACCTTCCTCTGGGCTAACTTAGCTCATCTGTGTGTCTTGTTGGGTCTTTACAACATTACAGAAATGTTTCCAAAATATTGTCACCATAGACAAGCAAAGGCAAAGCAAGGATCTGGATAACACCTGTGCGGGTTAGTGTTCATCCACTTGATACAAACCTAGACACACCTGGGAAGAGGGCGCTCAAGTGGAGAATTGCCTCCATCAGATTAGCCTCAAGGGTATAGTCCACCTGTACCACAGAGGTCATGAGTTCAAGAGCAGCCCACCATAGAGACCCTGTCTTAAAGCCCAAACTGAATTCTCTGGTAGGCAGACAGGTAGGGAGAGGAGCATGACTAGATAATAAAGGTGTTGAAATTCCAAAATGTCTGGCTTTCCCCCCACCCTCCTCACCTGAGACAAAAGGGCAGGCTTCCTCTCCTTCCTGAAGACCAGTCTAACAAGCTCAAGGTGGGGTCTTCCCCTCCTAACTCTGGATTGGTCAGTTGAACAAAGACAGGGAAGTCCATAAATTTGGGGTAAATGGTCGTCGTACCTTTTAAATCTTTAACCGACAGAGAAAACGAACTGGATCAAGACCCCTAGACAGTAACAATGTTCTCTACCTTAAATTGGGTGTGTGTGGGGTATCCTGTCCTTGATGGACAGAAACAGGTGGTGTCAGCTGGGCCTTAGCTGCCATAGAAGCACAGGGGCCCTGGTATTTGGAGACTGTCAACTTTCCTATCCTGCATAGGCATCATGGAGATGGTGGACACAGCTGCTCGACTCCTGGGGATGTGAGGAGCACAGATGTGGCCCAAGACACAGCAGCAAACTGCCTGTGCAGCTGTCTGTACTGCGCAGGCCCCAAGGAGAGCCAGATCTTGGAACACCTAACAGGAGAGGTCAGAGGTAGTACACTTTATTGACCCAGTTCTCCCCAAATCTTGAGACCAGGACAAAGCCAGACCCTGGCCATTGCCTTGGTCTCCCTCCACCAATCTGAGAACATCTCACAAAAAACAAGGGTCCTCTGCAGAGTAGCAGGGGTGGACAGGGAGGAAGGGTGCCAGCCAGGGGAAAGGATGAAGGGCTCAAGTGCTGGGTGTGGGGCTGGAGGCACCCCGAGGCCCACCAGGCCTGGCCAGCCCCTCCTCTTCTGAGGTTCCGGTGGTTCACAGTGAGACTGGCTTTGATTGGCAGGGGGGTGATGGGCAGTCGGCCACCTCCACTCCCTTGCCCACCCCTGGCCTGACTCACAGATCAGGGAGACTAGAAGGATGGAAGGCCAGACCTTGTGTCCCCCTAGGGGACAGGAAAGCCGCTTCTCCAGAGGGGCAAAGGGTAGTGCTTAGTTCTCTTCCAGACATCCTCCAGGTGGTTAGAAAGGGTCGTGCACTCCTGGCTCAGAGGTCTTGAGAACATATCAGTGAGCTTGCTCAGTGCCAGTCCCCAAAAGAAAAGAGTTTTTGAAATCTAGGAGTTGACTGGAGTGCACTGAGCTGAGCAGTAAAAACCCTGGTGACTTGGTTTAAAAAGGCTGCTCTACCTTGGCAGGCCTGGAGGAGCCAAGAAGGGAGACAGTGGAGGAGGGGTAGCCCATGGCAGCCCATGGTGCCTGGGGAGCAGATGGAAGGAGGCAATATGCAGGAAGCAAGAGTGGGGCGTGGCAGGACGCTGTCAGGCCAGCCTGGCTCTCAGGCCTTGTGTTCGCTGTTGCTGGGCGGCTCCTTGTGGCCAGCTGTGTAGTCTGAGGGGTGCTCCAGCCCCAACATCTGACGCTGTACCAGCTTGGCATAGAGGCCGCCCTGTGCCAACAGCTGCTGGTGTGTGCCCTGCTGCACCACACGGCCCTTGTCTAGTACCACGATGAGGTGCGCCCGCTCTACGGTGCTCAGCCGGTGTGCAATGATCAGCACGGTGTGTCTCTGCAGGTTGCCGTGGATGGCCTGCTGGATCTGCAGGGAACAAAGGGAGCAGACTCAGGGGCTGCACAGCATCACCGCACACGCACACACACCCTTCCCCATCCCCTGTGCCTGCCCCGACCTGCTGCTGCCATCTGACATTCGGTTCTTGGGTTGTAAAGTGAGGCAAGACAGAACTCAGCTCCTGGGTGTCGACTTCAGATGGCCCAGGTGCTAACATAGGGTACCTGGGGAAATGGGGATCTTTGACCTTCAGCCCCAGTGCCCTGGCCAAGAAGAACAGTTTCTGAGCACTCCCTGAAGCTTCTGCGTGCTAACCTCTCCCTCCTTCCCACCTGTGGACTGCAGCTCTCCTGATGATCCTGTCCAGTCCCCTTAAAAACTACGTGTGTGTGTGTGTGTGTGTGTTTGTACGTGTTTGTACACGTACGTGTTCATGTTTGTGACCAGTGTGCACACGATGCTGAACACTGAACGTGTGTGGAGGTCAGGGACAACCTGTAGGAATGAGCTGTCTCCTGCCATGTGGTACCCTGGGATTAAACTTGTCAAGCTTCATCATAGCGAGTAGCTTCACCTGCTGAGCCACTCACTGACCCTCACTGCTTTTTGAGACAGGGTCTCACGTAGCCCAGGCTGGCCTCAAACCTGCAGCTGAGAACGGTCCCGTCCCTCCTGCCTCTGCCTCTGCAGGGCTGGGATGGCAGGTGTGCACTGCCATACTGTCTCCTTAATGTTTCAGTCCGTTCTTGCTAAACACCCGGGCCACTAGCGTCTCGTCCTACCTTAGGATCTGATGCTCACTTGTAGGGCGTTTCCAACACAGTGTGGAGTGGGGGGGGCAGTGCTGTCTTGGTTCCTAAGAGTCCATAGAACTACACCGCGAGTATGAGGCAGGAGGGACTTTATAGTGAGTCAAGTACAGACTGCAGCGAGCGTAGCACACAATCAAGGTGTGAATGGTGGAGCACAGGGCAGGACTGAAGGGAGAGGTGGAAACTATGAACTTTCTGCTTCCTTTTCTTTAAACTTAAAAGTCCAAAATGCCCATGAGGATCTGAGGCGTCTGCCTCGTCAGTGCCGCCTCCTCTCCACTCCACCTCTCCTCTCACTGACCTTTGGCTTTGAACTCCCTGTTCTTGGGGCTCAGGTGCTCTCAGCCCCAGATCTCCCCACAACGGGCTCCTTCAATCTCAGGACTTAGCTAAGTGCTGACTTACAACCTGGTTCTCACAGTGAGTACATGACCACCCCACACAGCCCCCAGTGGGCTGCAGAAGGGACTCCTAGGATGCCTTCCTGAGAATTCTCAGCATGGGTGCATTTCCTGTCAGAGCCAGAACCTGCTGTAGGCCCCTCCCACCCTTCCCTGGTGGAGTTACTAACTAGGGCTCAACACAGGTGCCCTTCAGTTACTCTTGTGATGTGTGTCGGCTCTTTCCGAACTTGATCATAGAGAGGGAGTCCTGTCACCACCTTCTGTGCGAAGACACAACTTCCATCGCTACTGCTGGACACAGGCACTGTGTGCCACACTGACAGACTGCCATTCTGCGCCAGTTCTGCCCCGTCCTCACTCCCTTGCTGTCTCTTTCAATGCCTGCTACCGCTGCACCAGGAGAATGAGGCTCAGCTGGCTCTAGCTTCAAGGCATTCACTGATGCCCAGATCTGTTTACGCTGGACAATGACTGCCCATCCCATTCCTGGTAATGATTGGCAGTTTTTCTCTGTAGTGCAGAAAACCAGGCGTGTTTCCTTGTCCGTGAGCTGTCAGCCTTTCGGTGTAACTCCAGTGACTAGAGTGGCCCCTGGGACCAGGTCAGTCACCATCTGTAACAGTGGATTGACACTTGGAGGGATGTGCCATCAACCAGCAGCAAGGACGTGACCACTGAGTGAGGATTCCAGGAAAGAAGTGTCTGCCAAGGCCGGCCGACTGATGGTTCTAACAGATAGCTCTAAGAAAACCGCAGGGCTGTGGAGAGATTAGAATGTAGCTGGTCCAGAGCCTAAGTACAACTTTTTTTGAGCTAGCTTTAGCCCACCTCCTCGGGCTAGACTTAATATCCTACAACTAACACATAAGCTGAGATTTCTCCTCTTGGCTATCATCTGTCTCTGTTTCCACCAATGTAGTTGAAAAGTATTTTAAGACTTTGTTCTGTTACTATAAAAACTTATGAAACTGCTTCCATGTTGGAACACAGTGTTTGGTATGACCTAAATCTATGTGCCTCTGGTCACTAGCTCCAGAATCAACATCTCCCTTTGAGGTCAGAGCCGTATGGATGTGCCGACAGTTGTGATACCTAAGTGTGGGCCATGAACCATCATCTGCTTTTCACCAGAGTCACCTGTGTGGAAGAGCGGTGCCGGCAGGGATCCACTGAATGTAAACCATCCCGAATTTCATCTCAGGTGTACTGTGGGGCCCTTTCCGGGGTGCTGTCAAGCCTCCCGTGGTTGGGTCCATGGCCCCCAGTTCTCTACGTTCCTGTGGTAGCTCCCTTTTTGAGTGGGCTTTGCTTTTTAGAGTATTTTACTGAAGGTGTCTGTTGTGTTTGCCATGGAGCATGTTGGTCTGGATAGCTAGTTTGGTTTGTATCTCAAGGTGTCTGGGATACTGCCTGACTTCTCAGGTTTTCCCTTTAGATGTCTGAGAGCACTTCATTGTCTATTTGGTTCTCTCTGCCTTTGGCATACTTCGATTTGCTGCCATTTGACGATGTCTCCTGACTCCTCAAACACCCAATTCTGCTTCTCACAGCCTTGCTGCCTTCAGCACCTGGTAGTAAAGGTAAGAGGTACTAGATCCCCCGCCCACCAGACGTACTCCGTTTCTGGTTCTGAAGGGACAGGACTGACCCATCTGGGAAGACACATTGGTCACCCACGCTCTTAGCTCTCATGTTACGGACATGTTCGAGGTAGCTCCAGAAGATGGTCTCAGGTAAAAGTGGAGACAGTTTGTCCGCAAAGCAGTACATAAACCTCCCTTAAGACCCATACTCCTCCTCCTAGCCAGCGTGGAGAGGCTTGTGAATTGTTGGTGTTGTTTTAAGACAGGGTCTCTCTGTGCTGCCCTGGAACTAGCTCTATAGACCAGGCTGACCTCCAACTGAGAGCTCGTCCTGCCTCTGCCTCCTGAGTGCTGGGATTAAAGGCGTGCGCTCTTGCAGTTTTTCAGAGGAAAGAAAAAAATGGAAAAGAGCTTTCCAAAAAAAAAAAAAAAAGAAAAAAAAAAGGGAGTGTTTGGGGATAAACCACGTATGTGCCCCAGTACATATTATGTGATGATTATAGACTTTGAAGTATTTGAAAATATGGGAGATCAAACCACAGGTAACTTGGCTTTCTGGTTCCCTCGATGGACAACATTTGACATTCCAAAATTGGTATTTTTTTCCATGCAAAAGCAGACATTTTAAGCAACAAAATAAATAATCATGAATGAGCAGCCTGCTTTGGAACACAGCCTGTTAGAACACAAAATCATCTAAGAAAGGAAAAGAAACTATAAAGTGGTAACTTACAAAAATTAGTAACATCATAAGTTACAGTTTTATTTTAAAAAATTAAAAGAGATATTAAAAATCAATTTTAGGATCTTGGAAAGATGGCTTAGTGGTCAATAGCGTTTGTTGCTTTTGCAGAGGACCAGAGTTTGATTCCTAGCATCCACATGGCAGCTCACAACCATCTGTGACTTCAGTTCCAAGGGATCTAATGCCCACTTCTGACTTCTGTGGATACCAGGCATGTACATGGTACATGAAGGTACGTACACACACCAAGGCAAAACACACATAAAAATAATATTAATAAATTGAGTAATCTTTTGAGACATGGTTTCTCTGTGTAGCCCTAGCTGTCCTGGAACTTGCTCTGTAGACCAGGCTGGCTCAAAGCCATGGAGATCTGCCTTCGTCTGCCTTCCAAGTTCTGGGATTAAAGGCATGTGCCACCACTGCCCAACTTGAGTAATATTTTTTTTTTTAATATTGAGGTTATAAGAGAACTAAGAGTGAATACCGAGACTAACCTCCACTCATCTCTCTAACAGAGCAAAATTCTTTATCAAAGGAAAACATTACAGCCTGTATAAGGTAAAAAGCTAAGGGGCTGGAGAGATGGCTCAGTGGCTAAGACTGCTCTTCCCGGGTTCAGAAAAGCAGTATTTATAACTGCTAAATAACCTATATGAACTTTTTCTGAGTTTTCATTTAAAATGATTTCATTAAAAATGTTTCTAGTCAGAAACACACCTTTAATCCCAGACCTTGGGAGGTAGGTGGATCTCTGAGTTGAAGAGCAGCCTGATCTACATAGTGAGAACCTGTGTCCAACAATCTTTTTTTTTTTTCTTCAGAAATAATAATGGTAAAAATAAAACTATCAAGGTTTTTTTTTGTTTGGTTGGTTGGTTGGTTTTTTGAGACAGGGTTTCTCTGTGTAGCCGTGGCTGTCCTGGAACTTGCTCTATAGACCAGGGTAACCTTGAACTCATAGAGATCTATCTGCTTCTATTTCCCAAGTGCTAGAATTGAAGGCGTGTGCCACCAACATCCAGCGATCAAGTTTTTTTTTAAGTGATAAGTTATAGATTTTTGGTCAAAGGAGAGTAAAGAAAATGATTTGAATGTGGAAATACTTTATAAGGTAATATAAAGATTGTTTCAAAATAGAAATGGATAAAAATAATGATTGAATATTGATGTATGTTCAATATTAAAAATTAAATATGGTTATAACTAAGTGGATTGTAATATAAGTGTTACAATTTTAATGTCAAAATTCAATACCCTAAGACAAAATCAAGCTTCATTCTGTTTCTAATGTTTTAACATTATTGTCTTTTTTAAAAAGCTATGAGCTGGGTAGGGTGGTACACACATATAATCCTAGCAGTCAGAGACAGGAGGATCTCTGACCTGGAAGCCAGCCTGGTCTACACAGCAAGCTCCACAGCAGTGAGGGCTACAGAGAACCCACCTTAAAACAGAAGACAAGGTCCCTGTATTTTGCCTGAGTGTGTGTGTGCACAGCACCCACGGAGAACAGACGAGGGCACCTCATCTGATTCTCCTGGAGCTGGAGTCCAGACATTTGGGAAACCACCACTGGGTGCTGGGAATCAAACCCAGGTCCTCTAGAAGAGCAGCCAGTGCTCTTAACTGCTGAGCCATCTCTCCAGCTCCAAGTAAGGTTTCTTGTATATATTATAATAATGTTTACAAAGAAAACAGGCTTGTAAAATAAGAACTTTGTATTTCTCTTTTACTAATGTGACACTTACAACCTGGGCTTAGATCTTGTTCTCATTTCCTTTATGTTTTCCCATTGGAAAAGCCTTTGCTCATTGGATAGTTGTTGCCATAACCATAGGAGAAAGCATTCTGTTCGGAGAATCATTCCTGTTCAGGACGTCCCTATTCAATTATATAAGGACTGTGAAACTCAATTTAAGGGACAAATATTTATAGCAGTTTAAAATTTGATCTATTAGGTAAACAACTAACTCAAATTGGCAAAACTAACTGAAGCTTTGCCTTTTCATAAGGTTTATTACCCTTTGGGAAGACACCCATTAACTCCTCATAACATGAAGAGTTGGCATCTTATTGAAAGTGTAAGTAAAGTTCTATACATCATCTCTCTTAAAGAAAAGCACAGTCTCTCCTTAAGAAATTTTAACCATCATAGCTAAAAAACTTAAGTGAAACAACCCAGAGCTGGGCATGGGGCATGTCTGTAACCCAGCACTGGGAGGCAGAGGCAGGCGGGTCACTGGTCTACAAAGTGAGCCCAGGACAGCCAAGGATACACAGAGAAACCTACATAAACCAAAAAAAGAAAAAGAAAAGCAGCTGGCCCCACAGCCGAAAGGACCCCCAAGGCCCCCTGTCTAGAGAAGGGCCTGAGCAAGCTCTGTGCTGCCTGCAGAGCTGGGCGACATCTTGCCCCAAACACATGACGAGCCAGTGACGCCACCTTTAACTCTGCTCACACCCAAGTAAGGGAACAGTTCTATGCTTCTCTCTTTTTCCAAGACATTTTTCTCTGTGTGGCCCTGGCTGTCCTGGAACTTGTTCTGTAGACCAGGCTGGCCTCAAACTCAGGGAAACACCTGCCTCTGCCTCCCAAATGCTGGGATTAAAGGCTGCACCACCACTGCCCAGCTTGTTCTTTGTTTCTTAAATCTTTTCATAGACTTTTAAAATCATTCATGATATTTAGTACTTCGCTTGGTTTATTCCTAAGTGATAAAGTACTAATCTTTGTTTTAATGACGGCACAAATGAGGGTGTTATCCTTCTGTTGGTCATTTTTTCTATGACTGGTTTCTTACCCAAAGCCCCTCTCTTCCTTTCCTGTTTAAAGATTTAGGTGTTTTTACTGTCCTTGTGACAAATACTTTTTTCATTATTCACTAAAACTTGGCTTTAAAAAATCTTGTTTTGGGTGGGATTGGGAGGGGAGGAGGGAGGTACAGGGGGGATACAAAGTGAATAAACTGTAATTAATAAAAATAATTTAAAAAATCTTGTTTTCAGGGACTGACTCTGACATGAACTCAATGGCTGGCTTTTTTACCTTCCCCCCTCTGAGGGAGGAGCAGCTTTGCTAGGCCACAGAGGAGGACATTGCAGCCAGTCCTGAAGAGACCTGATAAGCTAGGGTCAGATGGAAGGGGAGGAGGATGGACCTCCCCTATCAGTGGACTTAGAGAGGGGCAGGGAGGAGATAAGGGAGGGAGAGTGGGATTAGGAAGGAATGAGGGAGGGGGCTACAGTTGGGATACAAAGTAAATAAACTGTAACTAATATAAAAATTTAATTAAAAAAAAATCTTGTTTTTAACCGGGTTTGGTGGCTCAGGCCTGTAATCCCAACACTCCAGATCTCTGAGGCCAGCCTGGTCTACAAAGTGGGTCCAGAACAGCCAAGCTACGCAAAGAAACAAAAGTTTCTGTCTCAAAGAACAAAAGTTTTTAAATTGACAAACTTATTTTAAAAATAACTTTTAAAAACTTATTTAAAAAGGCTCCTCCACTGTGGGGATATCGATATTTTAAATCGTAATTTTTACTACCAAAGTAAATAAACATTTTCTTATTAGGAAAAAAATTTAGCTGGGCGTGGTGGTGCACGCCCACCTTTAATCCTGGAGGGGAGGGGTGCAGGCTGGTGGGTCTCTATGTATCTGAGGTCAGCCAGGGCTACTGTCTCAAAAGCACAGTCCAACCAGTTAACATCAATAGAAACAATGATGTAAACACTGTGAACGACCCGTCACAGGCTCAGGTGTCTAACAAAACACTTGCTCCATTTACTCCAGCTAGAGACGCCGGAAGTGTGGGGTTCACTCTTCTTCCACATCACAGACAAACCTAATAACAGTCTCTAATAACAGCAACACTCACGGCTTATCTCTGAATGCTGAAGTTTCTTGGTTAGTATCTAAGCTGTCCCACAGTACAACTAGCTGGGACTAATTTAAATAATACTTGTATTTTGCTAATAAAAAGGAAATTGAGGACACTACAGTGATTCCCACCAACACCAGATCCCCACTTCCAATTCTGCCATTAAAGCAAAAAGATCCTGGTGAGGTCTGCAAATCCTAGAGTCCTAATCAGCCAGTCCATGTGAAGTTAGAGCTACGCCCTCAAGCTGGCCAGAAGAAAAGCTAAAGTTAAGAGATGCATCTAAGAAGACAGTGCAGGGAAGACCAGTGACTAGAAATACAGGAGATACGGCCAATTTGGTTCTCTAAGCGAAAGGTAAATCTTGGTTATTTAAAATGTATTTTTTATTCATTGTCAACCTCACTCCATTAAACCAAATGGCATTCTTGCCTCCCCCTCCCCCTTAAGTTCGGATCTCTGCCTGTCTTCTGGGTTCAAAGGCCTGGACCATGACTACCTACCGTTTTTGCTTATTTTAATCCGATGCTCCTCCTACATGCCACACGTAAAAGCTATCAGATGGAGACTGCAACAGAAGGTGACATCTGGAGCACCGTGGCAGTCGGTTCACTGTGGTGAAGGGGCGTCTTCCCTGCCTGCCACCTCAGCTCATCTACATCAGACCCCAGGAATGAGTCTCCTGCTTGTGATTCAGGACATTATAAATGTTGATAAATTTTACAGAATGTCATGCTTAGCCCACAAGGAACTGACTGAGAATTCCTGGAAATCGGCGTGTCTCATTAGAACTGTGGTGATACTTTGGGCTAGTTTTAACCGCTAAGGTCATACTTGCCCACTCGGTGCCAGACTTAACAAGCTGTGACTAACAGATAAAAAACCCTTTGGGAATGGATTAATTCAGTGAACCCTAGTTTCCACCAACCTAAAAGCTAAGTGTGTCATCAGACTTCAAATGAAGCCTGTGACAGGGGCCCTAGCTTCTCTGTAACCACCCCTGATGCCTCCATCAGCGTATCTGAAAAGTGTCTTGAATCCTGCCTTTCTTTGCTCTGTTATTATAAAAACTTCATGAAACTGCTCCCATACTGGGTCATGGAATTGGGGTTACCTGCATCCCTCTTCTTTGGCTCCAGATACACTACGCATGCATTATCCCCTTGAGGTGAGAGCTGTTTTTGCACCAATACTATCCACTTGGCCACTGAAAATAGGCTGAGAGGAGAAGAGCATCTTAGAGCCACGTTGGAAGTGTCAGGGTGGGCATTTGTGCAAGGCCTGGTGTCTCAGCCCCGAAGGTAGGAGGGGGGAAAGAAGGGGGGGAAAGAAGGGAGGGAACTCAGGAGCACGCCTCGGGGTGGCGTGCCAGATTGGACCCTCTGGCCTGGCACCATAGTTTCCGCACATCACCTGGGCCGTAGCTCTGGCCCCCAAGTGTCCTGCCCAGAACTCTGCTTCCCTTGCATGACCTGGGAGAGCCTGTAGCCACCTCCGAGCCCCGCTGCTTTCACTTACCAGGTATTCACTCTCTGCATCCAGGGCACTGGTGGCTTCGTCCAGGATGAGCACAGGTGGGTTCCGCACTAGGGCACGTGCCATGGCCACCCGTTGCTTCTGGCCACCTGACAGCTGGGCTCCCTTCTCCCCAGTCTCTGCAGGGAGGAGGCACAGGGTGAGTTGCTGGGACATCTCTCTCATTCACCTGGGCACCAGCTTTGCAGGAGGCAGCTCAGGAAGAGATGCCAAGGTTAACCTTCATGCAGAGGGGTGCCACACTGCAGACCATCCCCCATGTGCACCAGGCACATGCCCAAACGTGAGACAGTGCCCTGTGCAGTGCTGCCAGGCTGGCGGGAAACGGCCTCCCGCCTTCCTGGACTGGGCAGCTCCACGGTGATGCTCTGCCCTCACACACTGCTGCGCTGTGACAGTGTCACTATTACAGGGCACAAGCCTCAGTCAGCAAACCTGTCTCGGAATGTACGGCGTACAGGTCGGCTCTCTCCCACAGAGGACCAGCGGTTTTGGGTGTGATTACAGCACGGATATTACAAGACAAATATTCATAAGAACATCTCAAATGTCTGTCAGTTGGAAACTGAGTCAGCAAACCACTGTAAAAACCCACACAGGCAGGTAAAGAGGAACAAAGAAAAGGCGGGCGACTAAGATGTACTAAGGACAAAGGCCAGGTGCAGATTTAAAGAGCTGAGTTTGCTTTATAAAAGGGCAGAATAAAAACATTTATTTTTTACATAACAAAATTCCAATGAAACACCAGTGCCATGGTGCATGATTTTAACTCCAGCACCCTGTTCTGGGAAACAGATAATCAGGCTCAAGGCCAGCCCGGGCTACACAGTAAGACCACGTCAGAAAATCCAAGAAAGGGCAGGAAGTTGTAGCAGGTAAAGGCACTTGCTGCCCAAGTGACAGTGAGTTCAGTACTGGGCCCCAGGTAGAAGGAGAGAAAGGGCTCCTGAAAGCCGTCCTCAAATAAGTAAATCATGAAATGGCCCTAGAGACAGACACACACACACACACACACACACACACACACACACACACACACACACACACACGACGGTCTCCTCGTACGCCTGGCTAGCTTAGAGCTTGTAGCAATCTCCCTGTACCATCGTGTGCAGCTAAGCTTTTTGTTTCAAAGTTATCTTGCACGTGGATGTTTTGCCTGCATGCACACTGGTGTGCCACACGCCCGGTGCCCGAGGAGGCCAGAAGACATTGGGTCCCCTGGGACAGAAGTTGCAGCTGTGAGGCACCACAGTGCTGGGGGTTGGTCCTGGTCCTCTGCAGGAACAGGAGTGCTGTTAGGCCACCCGGCCCGTGCTTGTTCATTTCTGAGAGAGGCTCTCACTGTGTGGCCGAGGCTGGCTCGGAACTTGCTGTGTATACCAGGCTGGCCTCAGACTCGAGATTTATGTTCCACCATGCCTGGTGGTATACATGATTTTGACCACATGTTCTAGACTAACGGAGGAGGAGGAGGTCATGCCACACTGAACCACCCACATGCCACTGAGGCTAACTCATGGTCACGTTCCTATGACTGAAAGCTCATGGTCCGGGAAGGAAGATGAAGTGATAGGGCGTGGGTGTATCAGAGTTGCCTCATGGTACCTGTGCTGTACCCGTCCTGCAGCTCCATGATGAAGCCGTGGGCATTGGCCTTCTGCGCAGCCTCTACCACCATCTCGAAGGGCACGGTGGGCAGGCCATAGGAGATGTTGTCTGTGATGGATCGGGCAAACAGCACAGGCTCCTGGCTTACCAGGGAGATCTGTGGAGGGAGCAGAGAGCAAGGTGGCTAGGAGAGGCTGGCAGCAAACCCACTGGCTGTCACTGGAGCCTCCCCAGCCCCGCCTGGCTGACGCCAGGAGTCTCAGGTCTGAAACCTGAGACAGGCTGTGCTCAGCTGCTTCTTCCTTCCTAGCGGGAGCCCCTGGTACCCAGAACTTCCTAGGCCCCAGGCCTCCCAGGATGACAGTCTGGAGCCAGCCGATCTTGTTGCTCTGAACTGGGGCAGAGTGGAATGTAGCTGTGTGACTTTGCCAGGTCAGGGTGCATGAGGCCACAGCAGACCTCCCTTGGCAGTTGCCCTTACTCTGTCATTCAGGCTGGCCTAGAACTCGGTCTGTAGCCCAGTCTGGCCTTGGAATTCTGAGAACCCTCCTCTCTTCAGCCTCCACAGCCTCCCTTCTAAGGGAGTAGTTCAAAGACAGGGTTGCCCTCTGATTTGGACTAAGACCCTGGTTCACAGAAAGAGCAGTAGGGCTGCGGGGTTGCCCGGTGGGTGAAGGCTGTGCCACCAAGCCCGATGATCCGAGTTTGACCCCCAGGGCCCACACAGAAGAAGAGAACCAGCTCCTGCCAGCTGTCCTGATTGCTGCGTGCTTAACATTGGCATTTGTGCCCCTACCGACATAAAGGATAAGGAGCACATTTTAATACTGTGAAGTGAATGAGTGAAAACGGCCTAGCTGCCCACAAGCTGGGGATCGTTAAACAAGCGGCTGAGGCAGCATGGATGTAACACTTTTACTTGCACCTTTCTATACTGATGTAAATGCTGAGCTATATACTTTTACATGAGGACATTTATGTTCTGCTACATTCACGTGAAGAATGCCAGGGCTTCCCTCAACAACCCTGAGACAGAGCTGGAAAGGCAAGGCGGAGGGGAACTGTCCTGTCCTTATAAAATGCCCTGAAGGGCTGGGGAGGTGGCCCTGCGCGTAAGGCACCTCTGAACAAACTGGAAGACCCAAGCTGAGATCAGCAAGCCCACACCGTGCTGGGTGGGCAGGGAGGCCCGCCTGTGACTCCAGCTTCAGAAGGCAGAAGAGGGTCCCCAGAGCTGGCCAGTGAGAACAGCGCCTGTGAGCGCTGAGCTTGGCTGGAAAATCCTGCCTCAGATTCTGGGGCAAAAGAGTAACCACGGGTGACTCTAGGCCTCTACATACCCTCATACAGTGCGTGCACACCAACAAGCATGCCTGCCACACACGCAAGCACGCATGCATACATGCGAATGTATGCACACACATGAAAATGGAAAAAGGAAAAAAAATCACTACAATATGAGAAAAATCACTAAATCAAGGTTAGAGTGTGGCATTTGACTGTTTTGCGCTTGTGATAAGTTAAAAAATGTGAAGGAGCCAGTATTCCCCAGAGGAAAACCAGGTGATTGATAGGCATATAAATGGGGCTTGATGTCCCACAAAAAGCTCCTTCCTCAGTCACCACGCAGTGGAGCTGAGCACTGACGCTGTGTGGGAACCTGAGCCGCCCACTGCCGCAGTCTGCCCGGGGCTCTCCACGGCTCTGAGGGCCTGCAGCCCCATGTGGCCCATCCTGGGCCCCTTCTGGGCCACCCATCTCTGCTTGCATATATTTAACGCACATTCACTCACGTGCACATTTGCTCGCACGCACCCACGCTCTCTCACACACTGGTACACACACATTTGTGCGCACACACCCCTGCTGTAAAGGGCTCTCCTGGAGAGATGATGTTATCTAATACACAGACTGAACATCTGTCCAGGCCCCGTGCTTGCATGTCAGCACAGGATCAATGTTTTCCTTCTTTTAAAAACATTTAAATTACATGTATTTAGTGTGTGTGCGTCATTAAACAAAAGACCTGTAAGTAGAAGCGGGAACTAGAGAGGGCAGGGAGGTGAGTATCGCCAAGGCATTCCATACATGAGGGGCTATCACAAGCCTGTCGCTGTAGGGGAGAAGGAAGCAAAGGCCTGCTCGTGCCCATCACGTCAGTGCACTGCAGGTGTGGAGCCTGTGGGAGCAGGAGGGACTAGGGCACTCTGACCCTGCCTGGAGGAAGCCGAGGCCGGGTGAAGCTGAGCCATGCAGTCCGGGGGTTGTTCAGAGGTGGTAAAAAGAAATGAAAATCGAGGAAATGGCTGCCACACAGGTCAGGTGAGGCTTTACGTCTCGGGGAGGGGAAGGAGCATAGAGTGGCTTGTGGAGTGCCAGAACATGCTAGAACGTTGTGCATGGTGAGGTCACGGCGGCCACAGAATTGCCTACTCTTTGCATCTGTGTCCTGGCTCATGGGGATGGGGGGCAGGGCAGTGGCGCTCACCACGCGGTGCAGGTACTTGTGGTCATAGGCGCCGATGGGCTTGCCATCCAGCAGCACTCGGCCTCCCTGGAGGGGGTAGAAGTTCTCCAGGATGTTCACACAGGAGCTCTTCCCGCTGCCCGAGGGCCCCACCAGGGCCGTCACTTTGCCTGGGGACAGGCTGAAGGAGACATTCTGCAGGGATAATGATGGTCGGGTCTCAGCAGGCCAGCAACCCACGGCTTGCCCCACGCCTTCTGCCTCAGCTGGCGCTGCTGGCCTCTGAGCCGCCTTCCCGAGACACCAGGCCCGAGGCGCTTTGAACATACTTGAGTTCTCTGAGGTACTGGGTTTGAACGCAGTTCCACGTGCATGCTAACCAAGAGCCACTGAGACGTCTCCCATGCCGGGGTCCGGGGCAGTCTAGAACTTATTATCGCTTGAACGAGTGGCAGACTCCTGAAAGGTGGAATTCTCTTCTCTTCACTGACTGGCCTGGCACTTATTTCTCTACAGCCAGGAGTTTCCTTGAACTTATGGTCCTCCTGCCTGGGCCTCCTCAGTGGCTGGGATGCCAAGCCTGAGGCGCCAGCACTGGCTTGGTGGCTCCTTTGTATCTCCAGTCACCTTTGTCTGGAGTGTTTTCTGCGGAGCCACCTGCTCAGCTCCTGCCTGCTGGACAGTCTTCCTCAAAGGTCCCCTCTGAAGAGCCCTACTTGGCTGCCATTACTTCTCCCCTCAACAGAACCCAGATCCATGACCTTACCAGGGCTGCTGGTGGGGTGTGACATGCAAGTTAAGGATTGTCTTGAGCTGGAGAGGTGGCTCAGAGGTTAAGAACACTCACTGCTTTTCCAAAGATCCTGAGTTCAATTCCCAGCAACCATATGGTGGCTCAGAACCATCTATAGTAAGATCTGGTGTGCAGGCAGAATGTTGTATAAACAATAAATAAATCTTAAAAAAAGAATTGTCTTTATGTCCATTGCAGCACAGCTCTCGTTCCACCGATCTGACTTCTTGTTAAGTTACTAAAGACCCCCAACACACTATCACACACAATCCTTTTTGGTACTGGGGATGGCAGCCAGGCCCGGCGCCTGCTGGGCAGGTGCTCTACTTGAGCCATGCCCAGCCCTCTCTGGCTGGAGCTGTGGTAAAGGCAAGCCTCCTCAGTGGAGCTCGCGCCTTACCTGCTGCTGGCCACACAGCCAAGATGGAGGAAGGACGGTCTGGCAGACCGTGAGCCACTCTCACCTGGAGGACCTGCGTATGGGGCCGAGTGCGGTAGGTGAAGGTTACATTCTCAAAGTCCACCCGGCCCTCCAGGTGCTCAGGGGCCAAGCTTCCATCGTGCACCATGGTTGGCTGCCGGTCGATGAACTCGAACACTTTCTCGGCAGCTCCCACTCCCTGCATCAGGCCGCTGTAGACGGAGCCCACCGACTGCAGGGAAGACACACATCCTGTTCCCACTGCCAGCGCATTCCTGTTCCCACCAGTGATGGGGTGCGGGGAGGTTAGGGGACAGAGCTGCAGCTCTGGGGAAAGATGCCACCTGCCAGCACAGCGGACGGTGGGGGGGGGAAAGTAGTGCCACTGCGTCCGGGCACTAGGAGCCAGGGCCCAGGGTGGGTCCCTCGGACTCTACCACCGCCCTGCAGAGGGTATGTGTGACACACAGGGTAGAGCCGGCTCCAAGCCTCTCCTCTAACTGCCGCGGCAGGTTCCACGCTCCTCTCCCCACCCCACCCCCCTTAGTGTAAAGAAAGCTCTGGCTGTCCTGGAACTCACTAAGTAAGTCAGGCTGGCCTTGAACTCCCAGCTTGCTGCTGCTTCCCGAACACTGGGATTGACGGTGTGCACCGGCCTGACAACCGTTTCTTAGGGCCTCATGTAATCCAGACTGTCTCAAACAACTCAGTATATAGTTTAAAATCATCCTTTGAGAGGATTTTACCATTTGACCAGGCTGTCCTGAGACTCACAGAGATCTACCTGTCTTGGCTGCTGCATTAAAGATGAGCCTGGTACCCCAAGTCAGGTGTTGAGGAGGGGAAGTCACCAAGGGATAGTCATGATGTGCCCAGCTTGGGTCCCCTCCCTCTGGGGACAACTCCGAGCCTTGCAGACATCTTAGCTGCCAGTGATGGAGACTGAGTTGACACCCAAGCTTCCAGCTCCCTGCTCTGTGTCCCAACCAAGACAGAGGCCCAGGCCCAACCCCCTGCTTTCACCTCTCAAGCGCTGTGGTGGAGGCCCACAGCAGCATGCCTCCTTGAGTCAGTGCTGGGGACGGAACCCAGATTCAGGCATGCTCAGTAAGCACCCTGCCGAGGGAGCCATCCTCAGCCCTGATCTAGTCTTTAAGATGGGTCTTAACGGCTACTCTGTACACATTCTCTGCGGCTATAAGCAGCCTGGTCTGAGCATAGAAAGTAACAGTCACCCTCTTCACTGAGGCTTTTAAGCGAGGAGGCGGCTTCTCTTAGAAGCACGGAGATTGCCAGTAGTTTGCCCCACCTCACAGAGGGAAGTGGCAGGAGAATGTGGGTAGCTGCCTGCCTGGCTCCTGTGTTCAGCTGCTTAGGTGCTGTTATAGTCAGCTTTGGGGATGGGTTAATACCAATATGGTCGAGGTTGCAGTGAAGACAGTGTGAGCACACAGTACACCTCCATGTGCCTGTGTTCCGACAGTGATATCATTCGTCCGGCCTGCAGTTGTTTCTCTGGCGCTCTATCCTAGAGGCACTGTTTTTGAATTCTGACATGAGTCTTAATGCTGTCTTACATGCACACATTCTGTTTGCCTCAAAGCAGACCCTTCCTCCTCAATATAAGTCTGCACCTGCTCGCACCTGCACACCCCACCCCCTCTCCCAGCTGCCCCTCACCTCCATGCAGTCTCCCAGGACAAACTCGTAGATGATGAAGGCGATGAGGTTGCCACTGCTCATCTGCCCCGAGATGACGAGGTGGCCCCCGTAGTAGAGGATGCTGACCTGGACCACCAGGAGTGTGAGCTGCACAGAAGCAGGGAGGGCACGGGTTATGCTCCAAGGGCCTATGGAGACCTGGGCCCTGCCCTCCACTCTGTCCCCCAAGCCCTGTGAGTAGGGCCAGGGGAACAGGAACAGGAGAGTAGCCTTTTCTTTTGGGCTTGGTGACAGTGTCCTTTCCAACTGAGCCATCTCACTGGGTGCTGGAGGACAGCCTTCCAAGTTCTGAATGCCCTGCCACAAACGGAAACTCCATTGCCCCACTTGTCCCTTGGCCCCTCCCCCAGTGGCTCCCTACAAAGGCCCCTCGCAGGAGCAGGCTGTGGGTTTGGCAGCAGAACAAGGCTTTCTTTGTAAGGCCCTGGCTGGCACATGCCACCTTCAAGTTTCTGTGCTGGGCCAGGCAGGGCTATTAGTGTTCCTTGCCAAGAGCATGGCCTGGAGAGGTTGGTCCACCAATTAAGGTCCCACAGCACCCGGTCAAGGCAGGACAGTGAGTCCTCTTTGTTCCTTTTGGTAGGTTCCTGAAGAGGGGCGGTATTTTGGGGCCTCATGCTATGGTCTTTGGGGAAGGTCTGAGAAGTGAGACAACCTACAACCTTCCCAGGACCCCCAGCAGGCCTTCCCCACACCAAGCCAGAGTGAGGGCAACAGCTGGACGTGCATCACCGCGCAGGTGTCCTGCTGTGGGTGAACTCCCAGGGCCAGCAGCTGGCTGGGCTGTCCTTCTCTTCTGCTTGGCTGGCATTTGTAGGGGTAGTGTCTCAGGTAGTGGTACCTGAGTAGTCCTTGTCGCCTGACTTCCCTGTGCTGCTCAGCTACTTCCTCCCGTGAACCTCTGTGCCTCCCTGCCCTCCACCACTTCTAAGCCAGCCTACCTCCCACGTCCAATAGTGGGACAAACCTGTCCCTCTCCCTTCTCTATGGAGGAGCTGAGGCCTAGATTGGGCCCACGGGGATGCAAGCTCCTATCTACTCTGCCACCTTGCACAGATGGGGACAGAGGCCTCTGAAGGAAGAGCACTGCGGTTCTTCCGGGAAAGACTCAAATGGCTTGACGCCCATATGTGGGGGCCTAAACTGTCGCCCAAGCAAGGGTCCTTATCTGGACGCCCATCCCCTCGCCTCTGGCGTCTGACCGCACGCACCCCGCTGCCCCAGACGTAGGACATGTAAGCCGCCGCTTCCTTCCTGTTCAGCTTGTACACCTGCTGCAGCTTTCTCAGGAACACCTCCGCCTCCTCTTCCTCGTTGGCGAAGCTGCGCACGGTCTTCATGGCACTGATGGTCTCCTCCGCCGTGGTGCTGGCTCTGGCCAGGGCACTCTGGACCTCCTTGGAGAGCCTCTGCACACAGGGATGGGCAGGACAGCCTCATTGTCCTCCTGAATGTGTCCACCCCAACCCCACGTCCTCCTAACGGATGAGACAGACTTGAGATAACGGTGGAGAGCTTGGGGAGGCGGGCCAGCTTCTTAGGGATGGGTGATTCTTAAGTCACCGTGCTCAAGGAGACCACTGACTGCAGTTTGGGGTAGAGCTTTCAGAAAAGGTGCACCCACACCTGCCCTGTGCTGGGCTCAGGACAGCAGGCTGTACACAACACACAAGACACCAAGCGCTGAGGGCGGTGTCTATCACCAGCGTAAGCTAGGTGACAGTGCGCCAGGACCACCACAGGCTGGGAAATCTATCATGTGGTGAGCAGAGGTAGCTGGAAGGAAGTGACCCTGCTCTGCGGTAATGAACACAGTGGCTGCTCAAGCAGACCCGGAGTGTAGCCCTACAGGATAAGATGGGATGGCAGGCTAGCCGGTCCATGACCTGAATGTCACACTTGGTCACAGGGAGCAGGAAAGGCACACTGCACCTGGGAGGAACCAGGTGGGGCCCTGAGTCATGTGTGGTTCTATATTTAATAACAAAACAAGAAGAAAAAAAAACCCACTTTAAATGTTGTGGTGGGGACATGAACACAAGTCCCCTGGCATGGGTATGAGGGTTAGCCTTATGGAGTTGATGGTGAATGTCCACCTTCCTGTGGACTCTGGGGATTGGACTCGGGTCACCAGATTTGCACAGCAAGGGCCTTTCCCCATGCAGGTGGTGTAGAGAAGGGAGACCCTAAATGAACTTGAAGGCTCCACCCACTTGGAGGTGGGGCTTGTGGTGGGCAGAGGTAGAGGCCAGCCAGAAGGAAGGAAGATGGGGGCAGGGGTAGGGGTGGGGCAGGCTCCATGCCAACCATTTACTTTCTCCCGTCAGTCAGGAACTACCATGATCAGGGCTGACGGGAGGTGGCCTTTTGCTGGAGGTTGAAAGGGAATTGTTTACACAGGGAGGGTCCCAGATCCGGGAACAACAGACCCACCCAGCAGGGCTAAGAGCCCTGCTCTTCAGTCTTCTCCCCAGGGGTGCCTGAGCCCTTTGTGGGGCTCAGACCTGCATGTCTGAACTCAGCTCTGGGGCTCTGGCAAATCCAGGAGGCCAGGGAGAGTGAGCCCAGTTAGCAGGCAGTGCAGGGGGCTATATCACAGGCAAGGCCCAAGTCACCATCCCCCTCAAAACCCGGAGAGGCAGCCTCTGCCCTCATCACCCACCAGCACCTCCTGTCTCCTATCGCCTACCCCAGCAGCCCCCTGGTGGTTTCTCAGACACAGCAGACACTTTTCTACCACAGAGCCTGCGCACACACACACTGTGTGCTCAGAATACACGGTCCTGAGAGTCCGCTTTCTGCAGATCCCAGTAGCCACCCCCACGCTCACAGCTTCACTTTGTGCTTGCCCTCAGTACCTACCAGGTCCTCATTCTGGCTCGGGTGCGTTTGAACTTGCAGCAGCTGGGATGATGGGTATGAGCCGCCTAGCCCGGCTGACACCTGAGGCTAGTTGTCACTTGCAGCCTGTGAGCCCTGAATGGGGGTAGGGGGCTGCTTCACCACCTCCCAATGTGGACACAGTAGGTGCTCAGAAAAACACTCAGTGACCAGAGACAAATGAACACAAGCTGCTTGGAACAGCCCCGTCCGGCCTCCGAGCTCTCGAAGCAGACTCGGGCTCTGTCTGGGGACCCAATGGCACCCACCTTGTAGTACTTGCCGTAGATGTTGGACACCATCATGATGATGGGGAAGCCCATGAAGGTGACCAGGGAGAGCTGCCAGGAGAGGCTGAACATGAAGACCACCACGCCCGTGACCTTGACCGTGTTCCTCAGGAAGATGTTGATGTTCTGGGAGACCAGGTCGCTGACCATGGTAGTGTCAGAGGTGAGGCGGGAGATGAGGTCCCCTGGAACACAGGCACTCAGCCCTCTGTGGCAAGGGTGCCCAGAGCTGCCAGGGGGGTGGAGGGGTGCTAAGGGCCTTCTGAGATGGACACTGGGGGTCAGACCTCTCTCTCACCCTGCCTTCTGGGAATGATGGGGTCACTTCTGGAAGGCTAGGGAGCCAGCCCCAGCCCCCAGCCCCATTTTCCTTTGTTTTGTTTGAGGCCAGGTCTCAAGTAGCCCAGGCTGGCCTTGGCAGAGTCATAGGTGTGTACCAGCACACACGGTTCTAGCCTGTTGTGTGAGAATCTGCCTGTCAACTGAGTGGAAACAGCAGCTGACGGTCAGCTGGGGAAGGCTGGTACAACGCATGTACCCACCACAGCCAGATTTCAGATGGATTTCTGCTACCAGTCATGGCAGAGTGAGCTCCCCCCACCCCCCACCAGGTCAGAGACAGCCACCTAAGTTGGGAACACAGCAGGTGTCTTTCACACAGAGTGGGATACTGGTCTAGGAGCCTTGCAATGGTCATCAGGGGCAGCTACGGCAGGAGGAAAACAGGCCCCGAGGGTGGGGGGTAGAACAGGGCTGGACTGCCCCAGTGCTTGGGACCGTGGTGGCCACTGTATATCTCCCTGCTTGGGCTCTTTCCATCACAGATCCTCAGACACTGGGCCTCTGTGGGCAGCACTGGCCACTGGGGTTTTTACAAGGCAATGAGAGGCCTTGGGCACTGCAGAGACCTCAAGAGGCCTGGCCAGGGCCCTGTGGTAGCCATAACTCACACCAAAACCTCACCAGGCAGCTCAGCAACCCAGGGCTCCACCCTCAACTGGACCGCAGGATGGGCTGGCAGGGCAAGCCAGGCTGCTGTTGGGCCCCACAGGCAGCCAGCTCCCCATGGACGCCCAAGTCCCCGGCAGGGACCAACCTGTACGGTTCTCATCAAAGAAGCTTGTCTCCTGCGATACCAGTGAGCGGAAGAGACAGTTCCGGAGGCGAATGTTCAGTCTGGCAAATACGAGGGTGAAAATGCCGCCCCGAATACCTGCGGCCAATGAGCTGATTGCAGATGAGAGACGGTATAGCCGGTGTCCTTCCGGCAGACAACACCACCCCACCCCCCACCGAAGGACAGAGGACAGGCCACTCTGTGGGGAGGGCATCAGGATCTAGAGCCCCTCACTCCCCAGTAAATGCTCAGCACAAGCCAGACCCTTCAGAACAGTACAGAAAGCCAGTCCTTTGGGCTGTGTATTCACAAACTAGCCAGGGAGGGAGAAAAAAATATCCTCAGAGACCAGAACCGGTTTCCAAGACAAGAGGGTGTGGCTCTAAGATGTGGTCCAACCAAAGGGTTTGAAGCTGGTTTGGGCGGTTACCACAGTGCTGGGATTGGTCTTTGCCCTCTGCCCTCCCTCCTGCAGGAGTGATGTTTACAGGTTGAGTGGCTACCTGCCGATGGCCAGAAGGCACACGACAACCACAGCTCTGCTGAACTGGTCCATGCTCTTCTGGATCACGATGCTGTCGATGGCCCGGCCTGTGTAGTAGGGCAGGAAGGTCTCACCTGGGGAGACAGGGCGGGCTCAGTGGGGAGCCCACAGCCACCCCTCCCTGCTCACCCAACCATGGTCTGTTCTACGAGTGCCTGCTTACCCCTGCGTGGTTAATCTGTCAACTTAATGGGACTTAACCAACATGGAAACAAACCTCTGGGTTGTGGGGGATTTCTAGACAGTATTCCACATGCTGGGGTCCCTGACTGAGTAAAACAAAGACCACAAGCTTAGCACCAGTGTCCATCTCTGCTTCCAGGCCGGATGCCATGTTACCATGTGCCTGAGCCATGATTTTCCCACCAAGGCGGGCTGTGCCCTCAACTGTGAGCCAAAGTCAACCCAGAGAAGAAAACGAATACACCTCCCTTCAGCGAACACACTCTGTGACACGTCTGCGCTGCCTGGGCTGACACTGATGGCACCTGGGCATCAAGCGTATGAAGCCACCTCATTACCTGAAAAGCAGGGCCTGTCACAGGTCTCACACAGGCCACAAAGCGCCTGCCTCCCAGTAGTCTGGAATGCCCACTCTCACAAAATGGTCAGTGCAGGAGCATGGCCCCTCCAGGTTGGGTCTCTGACTCCTCCCGGTCCCCTTCCTTCAGCTCTTTGCGTAGGCTGAGCTAGGCTTGAGGCTGGACCTACGTTCTTACAGATCAGCGTGCACCCTAGCCTTCCATGGGGCTCTAGCGCCCTCTGCTGGATGTAGAACAGGAACCTTGAGGTGATCATCTTGCTCTGGCCACAGCTGGCTTTTCCCTGAGGTGCAGATCTGCCTGGTTTACCCGGAGGGAAGAAAACATCAGTGAGCAGTGTGGTCTTGGGTGCTGGGGGTACACGGAATGCCCTCCTGAGGAATCTGTAAGCATCACAGATACTCCAAATCCTACACGAGGCTTCAGGAGTATTTCCCAAATCTGACCACTGCTGCCACCTCAGCAGGTCTGCCCTGCTCTAAGTTGCCCATCTTGCCTGTCTCAGGGATTGTTCTCCACCTTTGAACCCAACTCAGATCTTGGCCATCTCAGCTCAACACAGCCTATTCACTCCCAGCTTACTCAGGGTCAGAACAAGGTCTTTGCCATGATTCACGGCAAACCATTCAGTGAGGCACCAGGCTTCTTCTCCTGTCTCTCCTTGCTCACCCTGATCTGGCTTCCTACCCTTTGTGCCTCCTTAACAACTATGTACCTTCTGCTTCAGGACCTGTGCACAGCTGACCCCTCTGCCTAGAAAACATCTCACCTCAGACATCTGTTCCCTTATCTCCTCCAAGTCCCAAATGTCACCCGGTGTTCTTACGGGCTTGGTATTTTTGTTCTTGCTATTTGTGGAAATGACTTCTTTCCACAGAGGAGGAGCCTGGAGCTCTTAGCAGTTACATCGCCTGCCCACATTTCTATACAGCTGAGATGCCAAGGAACTCAATGAAGGAATCCTGGATTACAGTGCTTGGCAGCTGAGGCAGGAGGATTTGAACCTGAGGGGCAGCCTCAGTTATGTAAGACCCTGTCTCAAACAGCAAAAACAAGCCAGGTATGGTAATCTCACTTGGGAGGTGGAGGCAGAGAGATCAGGGGTTCAAGGCCAGCCTAGGTTACATGAGGTCCTACCTGAAAAAGAAGACAGCGAACAGGACCTATTGAGTTGGTACAGTACTTGCCATGCAAAGCATGTGCTCAGATCCCCGGCACTCACGTGACCAGCTGAGCATGGTGGCATGCACCTCGACTCCAGCAATGAGGGGGCAGAGACAGGCTGACCCCGGGAGCTCACTGGCCCATCAGCTGAACTAGTGAGCTCCAGCTTTCATGAGGGACCTTATCTCAAAGGATAAGGTGGAGGGTGACTGAGGAAGACAGGTATCATTGACCTCTGACTCCCACATACACTCACACAGTGCCACACACATGCAAACACGAAGAAAAATAAAATGGAAAACAAACAGAAAATAATCCTGAGCTTGTGGGATGTCTCAGTGGGTGGAGTTCTTACCCCCAAGCCTGACCACTGGAGTTTCCTCCCAGGACCTACACGGTGGAAGGAGAGAACTGACTCCTAAGCTGTCTTCTTTGTTCCACTCACCTGGCGTGACATCTGATCAACCAGCCCCTACCCCAGATAAGTAAATTTCAAATGTGATTTTAAAAAATAATAAAAGAACCCTTCCAGGACAGCCAGGGCTATGTAGAGAGACCCTGTCTTAGAAAATAACATTTTAAAAGAATCTTGACAGTAAGAGGCAGTGCTGAGGCCCACGGTGGTGGCGCACGCCTTTAATCTCAGCACTCAGGAGGCAGAGGCAGGGGATCTCCATCTCCGTGTGGGCCAGTCTGCACTACAGAGAGTCCTAGAACAGAAAGGGTTATACAGTGAGAACCTGTCTCAAAAAGATGAGAGAAAGGAGAGCCAGAGCACGAAAACTTCCCCACTTGCTGGCTGGTGGCTTTTCTGCATTTAGGTCAGGATGGGACAGAAAAGCACAGATGAGCGTTTATAGACCAAATAGACTCCTCACTGCGCCTGTGCCAGGTGCCCTCGTGTTTCAGCTCTCACAAGCAGCATGCCCACTGCAGGCTGAGAAACTGAGGCTTGGCTTGCTGCTGGGCCTCACGCAGACTGAGCCCTTTGTCTGATGTAACACTGAGGGCTGCCGGAGCTCGGTGGCACTAATGTGCCTCCTGGGCATGCCACAGCAACACAGGGCCACCCCAGGCATAGGGACAAGGTCATAGAGTGACAACTGGTTCCGGGATCAAGACCAGGGGTGAGTCAGACCTGGCAATATCACCAGCCCAATGGCTGAGGTGCACAGAAAGGTCAGTCAAAAGAATCCAGTATGTCTGCCCAAGAAGAGACCCAGGCTTTCAGGCAAGTGCAAGAGGAGCTGGCTAAGCAGAAAGGGTCAGCCTGGAGCTCATAGCCACTCAAGGCCAGCATGCGAACCATGTGCTAGGACTTGCCTGAGGCAGTTTATCTTCTCAGCTCATTGGCCCACTCCCTGTCCCCCAACACCATGGGGACTGCTGTGGTTTGAATTTTACATCTCTCAGAAGCTTGTGTGATAGAGGATTGGTCCCCCCACCCCAGAACATGGTGTAGACTTCAGGAGGCTGGGCCTGGTCACTGCCAGTATGCCTTATGCCTTCCTCTTCCCCCCATCTACCTGCCCCTCTGCTTCCTGGCCACTATGGAGCGAGGGGCCCTGCTCCACTACACTCTCGCCATGGTGTTCTGCCTCACCACAGGCCCCAAACCCATGAAGCCAGACCATCACAGCTGGAACCGGACTCCATGAGACAAGCTACCCCTTCCTGTTTTCAAGCTGTTGCCTTGGGCGTCCTGTCACAGCAACACACAGCTGATTAAAGTGGGCGCTGTGACCCCCACTTTATAGACACAGAGATGGACAAGCAGAGGCTGAGTGACTCCCTGATGTCACACAGGTTCTAAAGGAAGAAACTGAGGGGAGCAGGGAGGGTGGGGGAGCGGGTGAGGATGGGGCGAGGATTGGAGGAAATGGCGGCAGTATCCCCAGCTCAGGTTCACTGGCCTTCTTTGGGAATACTCTGGCTCTATTGCTGCCGCAAGGTCTATCCCTGTAAATTCCTGGGCACCTACCATGGTGTAGCAAGTTCTATGCTTGCCGTTCCCCAGAAGAGGGAAGTAGGGTTCGGTAAGCTTGACAGACTCACCCCGGGTCGCAGAGCTCAGGGAGACCCCGGGCCCTGCCAACGGGGGAAGCTCAAGCTTGCAGCTCCACCTTCCTGCCCACACTGCGGGAGAGGACCAGGTCTGGGGCACAGACAGGTCACTTTCAAACCAAGCCACCCTTCACCCTTCAGCTCCGTCCAGTCACATGAGACAAGCTCATACAACAGGAGACAGATGGAGGGGGAAAGACCTGTGCTACAGGCACACAGCGTGCGCAGCGTGGGGCAGCAGGGCAGCTGGGAGCTTCGCTGGCAGACGGCGGAAAGAGGGGACTAGGGCATGGCAGCACACAGCTGCCACCCTCCGGCAGGGGAGCCAGGGACAGGAGGGTCCCCGGGGCGGCTAGCCGGCTCCTCTAACCAACCCATGAGTTCCGGGTTCAGGGGTCCACCCTGTCTCAAAAATATCATGAGGATGATACTCATGCTGACCTCTGTGTACATACAAGAGCACACATGTATGCGTGTACGCATGAGCTGGGAGGGTGGGTGCGTCTCCTGCCCACATGCAAGTCTACGGCCTTCTGTGGTTGGCCTTGGGAAGGAGAAGGAGGGTAATCAGGGCTGGAATTAGCTAAGCCTACACATCGCAGCCTTTGCTTTCCATATCTTCTTTCCTCTCCTTGGTATTTTTTGAGACTGGGTCCGACTCTTTGCCCACACTAGCCACAGACTCTCAACAACCCTCTTGCCTCAGTCTCTCAAGTGCTGAGACGACAAGGTCATACTCTGTGGGTCTCTGGGAGGTGTGGATCACCTAGAGAGGCTGCTGCGGTGCTTCCTGGAGACCAGGGCTCGGCGTGGGGCAGTCCCAAGACCTCACTTACCCAGCGCCGCTACGATGAGGAAGAAGGAGGCAGCTACTAGGAAGGCCACGTCAGGCTTGGTGTAGGACAGCAGCTTCTGCAGTGTGGCCCCCGACGCCTGCTCAGCAGGGGCCCCGCCCTCCCCGTGGAAGCCCTCGTTCCCAGGCTCCAGGGCCTCTGCATCAGGCCGCACAGTGGCCAGCAGCCCCCACAGCAGGAAGGAGGCGGCCAGCGAGATATAGGTCCACACGAAGAGCGCCCAGAACCACGGGTCCCGGATGGGCCTGCGCACCTCTGAGAAGAGTAGCAGTTTGGCCATGGCATAGATGCCCACAAAGAGGCACACGAGGGTGATGACCAGCCACGAGGCCCGCAGGCGCCTTGGCCCCAGAGCACTGTTCTTGGCCACACCAATGGTAGCCCCCAGCAGCAGGCAGCTGCGATACAGGCAGGCAGCCCAGAGGTCCAGCACCGAGTCGAAGATGTTGAAGTGTCGAATGTCCTCCAGCAGGCTTCGGTCAAGGTGGCTGAAGGCATAGATGGCCGTGGTCACGCCGACGTCCATGCTCACGAAGGCCAGCGTCACTACCACCGCCTTCCACAGCCGCATCCTGCTGGCTGGTGACAAGCAGGTGATGGGGTCAGGCTTTCGCTCACCGGGGCAAGGCCATCACTGACTGCTGGGCAAGGCCATACCTGTGGGGCATTGGAAAGCATCAGGGTGAGAGGTTTAGGCGTTTCTAGGGCTGTACCACCCTGAGAGAGTCTGGTAATTACAGTGGTTTCCCGGGATGTTGGAGGTTTTTCTCATGCAAGGAATGGTTTTTTAGCATCTGCTGTATGCCTGGCTCTGCTCCTTGTGTTTTTAGTTTAGCAATGAGCAAAAAATTGAGCCAGGCTTAGGCCTCTAATCCCCACACTCCACTCCAGAGGCTGAAGCAGGGGGACTGCATGAGTTTGAGGCTAGCCTGGGTGATACACACACACACACAGCCTGACTCAGTGGACAGAATACTTGCTGTGTAAGCATGAGGATCTGTGTTAAATCCCCAGGACACACAAAGGCCAGACAGAGCAAGTGCAATCTTCTGTGATTTCCAGGGTGGGGTGAGGGTGTGTGTTAGAGACAGTGGATCCTGGAGCTCACTGACCAGCTAACATCGATGAGCTCCAAGTTCAGTGAGGGATTGTGTCTCTCAATATAAGGTGGAGGGCTCGAGAGATGGCTCATTATTAAGAGCAGTTGTTAATTGTTGCTCTTGCAGAGGACCTGGCACCCACATTACGTGGCACACAACCACCTGTAACTCCAGCTCCACAGGATCTGAGGCCCTCCAGACCCCACATAAACTCATGCAGGCATACTTACACATAAATAAAAATAATTTTTTTCAAAAGGTGGAGAACAATGAAAAGAGAGCTGACATCAGCCTCTGAAGCACACAAAAGCACACACACACCAACACACACACACACACACACACACCAACACACACACCACCACCACCACCACCACACACCAAAGAGAAACAAAAACCTATGAACACGAATCACATAGATCTCTGCCCCCATGAAAATGATGTGCCAGTATAGAAGGGAGATTAAAAAGGGTCTGATGGGGCTGGAGAAATGGTTCAGTGGTTAGGGACACTGGCTGCTCTTTCAGCTTTGATTCCTAGCACCCACATGGTAACAGACAACCATCTTTAACTCCAATTCCCGGGCGCCAACACCCTCCTGCGGCCTCCTTGGACACTGAATGCATGTGGTGCACACAAATACATGCAGGCAACATGCTTGTACACATAAAGTAAAAAGAAATAAATCCTAAACAAAAGAAAGAAGCGCCTGGCCTGGATACAAAGAATAAGGTCTCTGACAGAGGAAAGAGGGATAAGTGGGGGAGGTGACACTTGAGAAGAGTTGAGGGAGCTAGGTTTGGTGGCTCAAACCTGTAATTCCAGCCACTGGGGAAGCTGAGGCAGGAGGCTGACAAGTTCAGGGGCAGCCTGGACAACTTAGTGAGACCCAGGGTCAAAATTTAAAAATGAGGAGAGTTAGGATCAACTCAGGGGTAAAGTGCCTGCCTATGTATGAGGCCCTGGGTCTAATGTCCAGTACACTCACTCACACACACACACACACACACACACACACACACACACACACAGAGAGAGAGAGAGAGAGAGAGAGACAGATAGACAGAGACAGAGGAAAGAATATGCCCCAAGGATATGGTGGGGGTGGCAGTGGGGGTGGAGAAGAAGCATTTTGGACAGCTGGAACAGAAGGCCAGAGCCTTGAGGCAAGAGTACACCCCTTGTCATTGAGGAGGGCAAGGAGGACTCAGGCAACGAGAGAAAGGAAGGCGATGGGGGTCACCTGGAGCACTTTGCCACCACTGACAGAGGGAGACTGAGATTATCAGAGCTCAACAGATGGCCACTGGAGTCTTCACTGCTCCGTTTGCACAGAGGGATGGTAAAGGTCAGGAGGTAGGTATCAGCCTGGCAAACCTGGCACACACCAACTGCTGCTGATAGCAACTGCACACAGCAGTTACTCGCCTTTCACTCTCTCAGGTTCCTTGGCAACCCAGAGACCTTTGTGTGTGTGTGTGTGTTTGTTTGTTTGTTTTTCTGGATTTTGCTGTCCATCCACTGAAGCTCCTCCTACAGAGGGCCCCTGAGGACTCACTAGGGCTTGGCACAGCCCAGAGTTTCAGGGTCACTCAGTGTGGATCTTGTGGCTGGGGGTAGAAGTGGAATTTGTTTAGGGTAGGTTCAGGACCCAGGCTGGGGCTGCCCGAGTGCTGTCTCCAGATCAAACCTTCCTGAGAGGAAGCGACGCGACGGTGGCCGGTTAGTAAGATGGGCAGTGCTCTGAGCCCTATGTGGAGGTGACAGGAGGTGCTTCCATCTGAGGGACCACCGCTCTGGTGGCAATATATGAGGACTTTGAGCTGTAGAGTGATCTAACCTTTAACATGAAGTCAGTTTGTGTGTGTCTCCATTAACTGCCAGAGAAACTGAGGCACTGGAAGATGAAGTCACCTGCTCTAGTCACTCAGCCAACATGAGCCTGAACCAAGGAGCCCCTGTGGCACACGACATGCCTGACAAACAGCATAACTGCCAAGCCCCATGCCACCTGCTTTACATGTGTTAGACTGTCTTCAAAATGACTTTGTGAGGCTCACACTGTCATCATCTCCATGTAGCCGATGGCGAAAACAAGGCCCAGAGAAGTCAAGAATTTGCCCAAGATCACACAGCTGGTGGATAGCAAGAGTCAATGTAACTTCTGAATGCAATCAGTACTGACAGGATTCCTTTAAGAAAAATAGTCGACGTAACTTGGGGTTCAGTCAAGAAGCTGAGGTGGCGGCAGTAAGAGCCTAATATCTCATGGCAACATGAGCAAGACACTGCTAAGCAATTTACATATACTGATGAAATATATTCTAATTTTACAGTTTAGACACCTGAGGTACAGAAAGCTCCAGTGACATGCCCTGGGTCACACAGCTAGGTAGGGCTCCAAAATCTGTGCTCCATGCCTCTGCACTTGATGACAGTCTCTTCCAGGTGGACATGCTCCCAATGCTGCTAAGGAAGGGTCGGAGGTACAGAGGCCATGGAGACAAAAGCCTCAGGGTTTTTGTCTTTTTTTTTTTTTGTCACCCCAGCACTGCCAAGCAGATTTGTGTGTCAGAGCTATGGTTCGATTAGTCAGCATCTGCCTTTCCAAAGGGAGCCAGGGCCAAGTGGGGTCAGGGCAGAGGGAAGGAGGGAGACAGGCAGGCTCCCTTGCACCAGCCTTCCTCCATCCCAGCTGGGCCCGAGCTGCCAACGCAGCTCCCGGGCTCAGTCTGCTGCAATGCAGACGCCTCAGGGAGCGTGAGTGCGTGAGCTCCACTCGGAGCTCAGGAAGGGAAGCTCCTGGCCCGGGGCCACCCTAGGCCTTCTGCCAAGCAAGTGCTGGCTTCACTAGGCCTGCTGGGCACCCAGCTGCTGTCTTGCTGGGGTGGACACCAGGGGTCCATGGCCCCTAGGAAGGGGGCAAGGCTCAGGACTGAGACAGAAAAATCAGCCAGCCTCCCTCCTCTGACTGTCAGTCATGGGAGATTCCTTCCTGAAACTCCAACAGCTCCTGTAGCCAGCTGCCCACGCCCTAGGATTCCCAAGTGCCCATGCCCACTGCAAAGAACACTCCAGATGTTAACATCACAGGCTAGTTGAAGCACTTTAGCAGGTGGCAAGAATGAAGCCTGGGAAGCGAGATAGAGGTGCTTATCTAGGGTTCATCCAAGGTGGAACACCCATAGTGCCCAGGTCCCCTGCCTCCCAAGAGCTCCATCCACCCACTCCAAGCTTCCAGGAAGCCAAATCCAACTCAGGTCAGGGCAGGTTATAATCCTGGGGTAGGGTGGGGTGGCAGGTTAGTCTTGTTAAAAAGGCTACTGAGCAGAGTGACTTGGAGAAGACCACAATCACGCGCGGAGCCTGCTGGGAACCACATGTCCAGCCTTCATCTGCCCGGACTCTGAGGACGCACAGCTAGGTGGAACTGGAGGACAAACTGTGGCCACACAGGTGATGTGCATGGCCCAAGAGACAAGGGCAAGATGGTGGCTAGAGATGCAGCAGGCCTTGCTCGGAGGCCAACAGGGGTCCAGGAAGACAGGGCAAGTTGTCTTAACCCAAATGCTAAGCATGGCACAGGGCTGGCAAGTGACCCCAGCTCCACTGGGTTGTGTTTTGTTTTGGCGCTGGGGGTTAGAACTCAAGACCTTGGTCATGCTAGGCAAGAACTCTCCCCACTGAGCTACACCCCAAGCACAGGGGCATCTTGGAGAATGCCTTTTCTTCCCTGTGGAGGAGATATTGCTTGGAGTATCTCCAAGCTGTCAAGTTGTAGCAAGGAACAACCAGGAGAGAAGTGACTGTCATTACAAGTACCACAGCTACCCATCTTGGGTTCCCTGGTGCCTGTACCTCCCAGCTCTGTGACCTAGTGCCCTGGGAGGCTCACAGTCACTATAACCATCACAGCTCCGGGGAAACCCCAGACTGTTGGAGGAGGAAGAGGAAAGGCGCGCCAGGCTAATTAGGAACTGCAGGGAAAGGTTCTGCCTCGGATGGCTCAACTGGCTCCCATTCACCCTTCACTCTGCAGGCTTGCCACTCCGAGGGCCCGACCCCAGGGAGGCTGGTGGCTGCTCTCAGATGGCACCGACTGCCCTTGTTGCTGTGGGGTCTCTGGAGAGCAGGACACACCCAAGCTGGGTCCACGTAGCTCCGTCCTGACTCCCACCACATCCCACTGCTGTGACTGGCACTCTGTCGGGCGACGCCAGATGGCCTCGGGAAACCCGATGGCAAACCGAGGGGATCCTAACACCTGTCCCCACGCCATCTGCAGCAGGGGCATGGAGGCCACCCATCTCCAGGGGGTGGGGCGGAGGGCAGAGAAGCGCCAGCCACACTCGCAGCTATCTCAGTTAACGCAGGCCAGCGAGGAGGCGTCCCCGGGACCGCACAGGCCCGCCTGCGGGCAGGGAAGGCTTGGCCCAGGCCAGGCCTGGCGCTCGCAGCCCTCAGAGGTCGCCGCAGGATCCACGCCGGGCCCCAGGCCTCCAGGGTCTCCTCCAAACGCTCCTCACAGGGCACCTACAGACAGCGTCTCGGAAGGGT